CGAGCGTAAGTTAATGTATTACGTATGTAATATATCGGCTATATATTATACGTAATAAAAATAATTTTTTGCGAAATATATCTGTATCGCATTGTGTAATTTACTCGCGATCCTCTCGTCTGTATAGGATAGTCCATCGCTACGGCCGATGTAAAGACAGTCGTGTTTGGAAACATTTTAATTTCGCGATCCGAGTATCTTCGCATGAGATGAAAATTGACAAATCTCCCTGAAAAGCTTTACATCACCGTAATTAAATTTCTGCAAACTCTTCACGGAGAAAAGGTCAATTTTAAACTCGCTAGGGTATATCGTCTTTCATATTTTTCTTTTCCAAAGCGAAAAGAGAGAAAAGAAAAGAAATATCACGGTAAGCGTGATGGGGTGATACGTGATATATAAATCGCGAACTATATACTCCCACCTTTCGATGTTCCTCGCGTTGATCGAGGATGGAAAAGAAAAGGAGAGACGACGGACTTGTCAACGGATTGAAGAAAAAGAGGCCGACAAAGTGTTCTCCACCGTGAAAAACGCGCATCTCGCGCTCTCGCATACATGTCAGGAGGAGAAAGGGGAGAAGGGGAGCGGCAAGGCGAGGCGAGGCGAGGCCAGGCCGCGAGGATGATATACGGGGGACTCGTACGGTAATTTTTTTCCCCGAGGCGTTTTAGCGCGATGCGCCTCTACTTTTCCCGGCGCCGTAATCTATAGGCGCACTTAATACAGCCGCTCGTTTTGAGTAACCTCGCCCTCTCCTTTCCGCGCTTTCGCGCCTAGCTCGCTCTCCTCTTCCTTCTCCTCGACCATCGCTATCTCTTTCTACCGCCTTGGCATGCACTCGCTCAACGTGCGACGTCGTCCCGTTCATTCTTCACGTTCGTTCCCTCGCTCGCTCCCTCTTCCTCACCCCATTCGTCCGCTCTTCCGCCCGGCATCTCCGGGCTCCACTTAGCGAGACTGCATAATATATCACGTGTGTGGGCTGCTTTTACATCGATGCACTGAACTACGAAACGGCGCGCGACGCGCGCGTTGCACGATGCGATGCTTTACGTGCGTGCCGCGCATCGCAACGCGGCCACGTGCACGGAAACGCGACGACGATGCACGCGCGCATCGCTCGCGATCGCCGATCGAAAGACCTGTAGACCTGCCAGTCCGTTGAGGAATTCCGCATACTCGATTTAAAAATTGAGATTATAAAACTCGCTAGGAAAGCGATATTTAAATCTTGCGGTAAAATTTCATTGCCGTTATTTCACTATTTTGAGAGCAAATAAATTGTACTATAATAAACGATTGTTTAGTTGTCACACTAAAATCTGTTTTGCTGTATAAAATAAAATAGAAAAATTTTATTTCAACGTGTTAATTTATTACTCAAGCATACGATATATTTGTAACAAATGTATTTTGCTATTACACTAAAATTGTTTATGATATATAATTGTTTACGATATAAGAAGAGATAAAGTTAAAGGATAGAAAAATGAAAGTAAGTTTGTTACTCGATTTATTGAAATAATCTACAAATACATTTCAGTAAATAAATTGATCTTAACATTATTGATCTTAAATTATTTTGCCGTCTATAACTAACAAAATTTACTGCAATAATTAAATATTTGTTTGAAATTTTTTTTATAAAGGAAGTTGAAAGAAAATTGATTTTTTTGAATTTTTATCACAAATGCTACAAATTTACTTCTCTCTCTCTCTCTCTCTCTCTCTGTCTCTTAGTAAGTATTTTCGACAAACAAAAATACATAATGTGCGAAACAAAAATATAGATAATATTATTTTTCAATAATAACAAAAAATAAAGGAGCAATTTTCAACGTATACTGCGAAGTAAGTTAAGACAAAAATTAAATTAATACTTGAAATAAATGGAAAAATCTAGTTTCATCGATTAAAAAAAAAACCTGTATGTGTCAGTATTGATTTATCCACAGAAAATACGCTATTTGCGCCCAACTTGGCTATTGCCATCCAGAAATTACTCTTTTTTTATATAGGCATACCACGCCTTGGACTCGAATAAATAACTCGGTTGAATATCGTATTAATTCCAAAGTTAATTTCCTCAGGACTGACTAAACTCGATATGCTATTAGCGGATATCACGCACGGGTGATATAAATAAAATCGCGAGAAACAAGGAATCTTATCGTCGAGAAATTGATAATAGGATAAAGAAGGCAAGCACCATTTTAGAAATTATCCAACGGATAATACATCGTTTGCCGTAAATTTGAATTTGCCTAAATAAAACTAGCGAGAATCAGCGTGATTTCAGCGAGAATATCAGGCTGAATATCAGTGGGGAAGCGAGGGACGAGCGTGGAAGAGCGTTCTCACGATTACAGGAAGCAACCCTTTGCCGCGCGAACGCGCCGTGAGGACCGAGGGCATGCGTGTGGCGGGGGTGCTATGTCCATTACGCTTATTACAACCTCCGACCACCACCCGTCCGCCACCGCCACCGTCCTTTAACCATCCGCTCCCTCGACCCCGCCGCCACCCACCCTTTTACGTGGATGAACATCGATCGACACACGACCTGGAATAGTCGGCTGCGCCAGTCAACGCGCCAGGTAACTAAATTGCCCTCGTTCTCGACGTTCCGAATTTGGTTAGACCGAACGTCGAAACTTCGATAATGTTCAGGCACTTCCTGGCGAGAATCGCTGCACTGCTTCGTCGATGGTCGGACATATTCTCGCGGTTGGAGAAACCAGCTCTCTCTCTCTCTC